ATGTATTTCGATGGAGCATGTCTGGTTCATTTAAAATTGCTTTTGCTAAAAAAGTGTTTTTTTTTTCGCCGTGAAGATAATTTATTACTCTCTGGAACAAATTTTTTGTTATGTTTATATAAATATTTGATCTTGAACGTTTTGAATCGTTTTTAAAGTTGCATATTTCAACACAAAATAGTTTAAGCATGTCATTATATATATAAGTTCAAAATATAGAGAAAACATGGAAAGAATTACAGAACAATGAAAAAAATATCCGAAAAAAAGGGGAGGAAATAAATAAAAATCCGGAAAATAAAATATATAATCTTTTCATCAGCTCACACGATTATATCCGCAAAAAGGTGTGCTTTCTAATATTGTATCAATGTAACCAAAGCAAAATATATCAATACAATAGTGTGAGGAGCACTCAAAAAAAAAAATTTACAACAAATAAAATAGAACACATTAAGTAAAAATAGAAAATAAAATATAAAGAAAAACAGATTAAAACATAAAACGAAATCTATAAAGCGAGTGGCGAATTCAAATGAACTTACATGAACGGGAAATTTTTCAAGAATGATTTAAATTGTTTTCGTAACAAAATTGCCAGAATACAAAATATGAAAACAGCAACGCAAATTGAGGTAAAAGCGTAAATTTTTTTTATTTTTTTTTATAGTGCCTTCTTACTGCAGTACTGAAGTTCGTTTGATTTGTTAGTTACCAAGGATGGGCCCGAGAATGGATGTGCGCATGGTAATATTATGCTGGATAATTTAAAGAAGTTGTCAATTAATAATTTTAGAAAATTAACTTTTATTTAAGAAACAAATAAACTGAAATAGAAAGGAGAAAAAAAAAAACGTGAATTGCCTGTTTTGCCCATAATTTTTTGCCATAATTGATTTGCCCTAAATGGATTCGCACATGGTAAAAATTGTATTAATTAACAAAGAAGATTTTTAGTAAATTTATTTACAATAATATACAATTAACTCAATGATTTAATAAAATTTAATTACTTTAGTTGGGTATCCATTGTTTTTTTTAATAAAATTTTGAAAGAGTTTCTCTAATTGTTTTTTGGATAAATAAACATTACTACAAACATACATATATTTTAAAAAAACTAGCTAGGAGAAAGAAACCGATAGCAGTTTTGAAATCAGCGGTAGAAAAGCGTCTAAATATCATGTTACTAAAAAATATCATGCAACAGAAAAGAAAAATGTTTCCCAGGATTATTGAAGAGTATGGAGTAATAAATAAATAAATAAAAATTTCGATTTCCGATATAGAAAACTATTATTTAACCCGTGATGATCTGGTTAAATCACTAATTCTAAGTTACTTATTATTGAGTGTTGTTTTATTAAGCTTTTAGAAAACATAATTTTTTTAATCTTTTAATATAATAAATTCACAATATAATATATGGAAAATAAAAGTACTCACATAATTTTTTTTACCCCAGTTTTAAAACACTTTCTTGTTATTTGAATGCACATTGTTCAAGTTGTGTATATCTGCGCATTTTAGTGTGCCTCGTCTCTGTGCATTCAGTCTTTCACCACATTATTTGGCGCAGCATGTCCTCATTTGGACCTTGTGCTGCTAAATCCTACATTCAATCAGTCAACCATGCTTTCAGTGTGCTTAATTTCATTGATTATCTCTAAATACAAATTGTTTAAAGAAGTGTTGCATTTTTATTCAAAATTTTTGTATTTCTGCATTTAATTTTTGAGTGTCGATTTCAACCAATGTGAAATATTAAAATGAAGTATCCGGTCTTCGATGACATTTTATGTTGAAAGTTAATACGCTCTTTACTTTTTTTTTTGGTCCTTTCTGATGAAAGCAGACAATGATCTCACTTGTCTGTGTTTGGTGGTTTAAGTGGGTAACCACTGAACACGTACAATTAAATAGAATGCAAACAAATTATACGAAGAGAACTCCTCCGTTGTGTAATCCTAAGTTATCATCTCATGATTTATTTTCATTTGTATATTTTAAAATTTTCTTTTCAGTTTTTGGAGCTTCATGGCATACTCTAGGCCTGAACTCACTTTTTCTACACCTTAAATTTTAAATTAGTAGGTAATAAACAGGGCTGATTGTGCTCCGGCAGAATTTTCGCTAACAGTGATCCGGAAGTTTCCGGAGATTGAAGGTCCGGACTTTTCAAAAAATCATTGATCACAGAAGTTTCCGGAAATCAAATTTTCAAAGGTGGAGCTTAAAGACACACTTTATTTTATTTCTTTGTAAGGGAGAGCCAGAGAGATACTTTATAAGCTTATATTCATGATTAATGTTAATTTTTTTATCAGTAAATAGTTGTTATAATCTTAAACTCAAGAAAGAAAGACATATTTGTAAATTTTAATTACTTCTCCAGGTCATCATAGGTATGTGTAAAATTTTAAATATATTTTAAGTGAACTAAGAAATATTGAGAAAAAGGAAAAAAACCTTGTTTAAATTTTTCAATTTTAACTGTTTTTTTTTTTTTTTTTTTTTTTTTTTTTTTTTTTTTTTTTTTTTTTTTTNATAGGTATGTGTAAAATTTTATATATATATTTTAAGTAAACTAAGAAATATTGAGAAAAAGGAAAAAGACCCTGTTTAAATTTTTCAATTTATACTGCTTTTTTGTTTTTTTAAACTCAAGAAATTTTCCGGAATTTTGACTTCGGCTCACGGTCACCCCTGAATAAAGGAGAAAGAGAATTTGAGAGGAAAATTTTCTAACGGTATGATTCCTCTTATGTTATTAGCAAGTAGCATTAGTAACAACAACAACAACATTAAGAGCTGTGAGTTTTAAAAGGCTGGTTTATGTTTATATTCAGTTCGTATTCGTTTATACAGTTCGTATTTATTATTATTCGTATTATGTTTTTATATTCGTATATCGTATTTAATATATGTTTATACAATTCGTATTCACAGAGTGCAATATTATTCTGTAAATTTCTGCGATACCTGAAGTATTTTCTTTTTTTTACCAAGTAAGAATTGTTGAGTTTGCTCTTTAAAATTCTGTAGTAAAATTTTGTTCCTTAAACCATAATTAACTCAGAACTGTCAAAATAACTAAACATTTGCTTTAAATGCATAATTTTAGTTGCTTCTCTTTCTATAGTATACAACATAATTTTAATCATTTTCTTAAAGACGCTTATGAAATTTTAAAATTGCACTTATGTAACTTTTTGTCCTTGAATAATAAACATTTCTTTCCAAGGTTATATTAAACCAAAATGAACTGCTGTATGTTTTACTTCTTCTTACTACTTTTTACTACGTTTTAATTTTTTTTACTCATTTCGAACAGATAACTG